ACGTTTCAACCGATTTGAATGGTTCAAAAAACATTCCTATTGATAGGAGATGTGCTGATTAGTTTTCGGCAAAGGCAGGTCCAGCCGTTCGGAGATTCGGAGCAAAGAGTGCAGAAATAGAAATCGAGTTTCTGATAGAACGGAGTATCGGATTTGATTGATCTAAAAACATTCAATTTGTAATGACGGGTAGAAGTGGTGTTTAGATTTTGGCAGATCCAGCTGTTTTGGAAATATCGAGCTAAATGTGGAAAAAATGGCAGTTTTTGAGAGAACTAAGCATCCGATTTGAATGAATCAAAAAACTTTCTACTTGTTTTGACAAAATAGTTGTTTTTGGAAAAAAATTCCAATCTAATATAAAACAATTCAAATTTAATATTTCTCGAACATTTTACCGTACCGTAGGGTACGGAAGTTCCAGCAGTTTGTCTTGAGGCACGATGCCATCCACAACTAGTTTTGCACTTATTTCAAGATTATTTTTACTGTAATACTCAATTTATTCAATAATACCTTGTTAAAGCATCCAAAAATAAGTTTTCATATATAATTGATATTTGCTGACAGGAAATACCATTGCTACATTTTTGGTCTCAAGTCCAGTAAATAGACCTGCCAATGTATGGTATATTCTCGATATTTGCCACTTACGTCGACGTACGGAAGCAAAAAACTTTAAATCTACCATTTTTAAATTAATTGCTACTTTTAAATCTACCACTTAATGGTCAATAAAGACCACATCTCTCTAGGTAGTACAAGCAGCAGTATCTATATTACGACTGAATTTGTTTCTCGCAGAATGCAATGGTCCTCTTTAAATCCAATCGAATGTTTTTGAATTTTGCAAATCGATTTATTCAAACGAAAGTATACAGACAACAATTGTATCTATATATTCAAATTTACATGCATGCTACAAAATACCACATCTTTTCTAATGCATGCCAGAATGATTAGAATCTTTTCAAGATAAAGAAAAGGTAATAACTAAATAAAGGAGAAGGTAAAGGTTAAATAGAAAAAAACGTTCCTAATTACTTGCAATTTCAATAATTTGCTACGAAAAGATAATAAATAAATAAATGCCATTACATTTTTATTTTTATTTTTTGATTATGCATATTTAATTATTATATTTATCAACTACTTACTGGCAAGTTGCTTTCCGTGACAATAGTCTTCGTTCCTCCAGGGGTAGTCGCAGCCTTCGGTCACTCCCCTGTGCTTACCAGCGAAGACCAACCCGTTGGGGCAGTCATATAATTCGGCCCTGCCATTCTGACATTCCCAGTAGCGATCACAATGCGTTCTGTCAGGTGACACCCGGGTTTTGATTGGCAGGGTCTTCTTGTTCTTGCAGAGCACTCCTGGATAAAAATATAGTAATTAATAGTTGTCCAAAATTATAAACAGAACGCATATTAACAACATTAACTCCTTGTCGAATTTTCCAACTTTTGCCCTGATTTAATCTAACTTAAACTACTGGCACCAAAGCTCTGTGTCCGTTTCAGTGGTCTTATTTTCTCTTCGTATAAATCTTGGAGTTCAAATTCTCCACATAATAGATTAGTTAAAAGAGAAAACATCTCAGCCATTACGTATTACTCGTTATGTCATTCGTACAACATTGCATCATTCTCTATCATCATCAAAGCATTCGCATATCAAAGTATATATTTAATTTAGATATATATCTTTATTTAGATTCTATTTGCAATTGGCTCATTACATATACTCGTAGATACATTTCGCAAAACGCATTTAGAATTTATTCTAGAAAAGATTTTCGCATTTTGAAATTGCCCGAGGACCAAGCTGTGGATTAGCATAATTAGCACTCGAGAATTCTTCTCACATTAGACGAATTGCATAAAAATTATGTAAATATTTAAATATCAAACAGAATTTGGTCATTTGTTCTGTGAATTAAAATTGAGAATGATAACTAGTTGATTTAGAAATTAGTGGTAATAGAATGTGCGAAAAATGAAATTTGATGAAATGCTGATTTTGATTCTCAGAGACTTGTTCTGAACAATGATTTTTTTAGCAACAATATTTGAAAATAGAAGGTGAAATATGTTTAACCAGCCATCACCTTTGCCTTATTTGAAAATCCATCATAAAAGTGTTTGTTAGTTGTTTAGTTTACGAGAACTTATTATAATTTTTAAGTCTGTTTTTAAATATTTAAATGTAAAGATGAATTGTTATTTTGAAGTTAAAATCAACAGTTTTATTTATATAAGCTTAAAAGCTTGCATGTAGGTGAGGTAAAAAGGACAACTAAATTTTTATCTTTAACTCTACATTTAACATTTCAACACTGATGAATAGTAGCTTGTTGGATATGTGCCATGATTTGAAGGTTTCTGAACATTATGGCAGAAAAAATGGATGTATGTGTGTGTGTGTATGTATGTTTAGATACAATTTTATCCACGGTTTCGGGCGCATATGATTCAACCGATTTGAAAGATTCAAAAAACATTCGGTTCCTATTAATGAGAAGACGTGCTGATTAGTTTTTGGTGGAGACAGGTCCAGTCGTTTCGAAGATACGGGGCAAAAAGTGCTAAAAGTGACAAAATGAAGTATTGATGGAATTTTTGGTAAGGCAGGTCTAGCGGTTTCGGAGATACAGAGGAAAAAGTAAAAAAAACATATTTGGCGGTCAGAAATGATCATTAGATATATGCACATCAAATTATCAGATAAATGATAAAATTTTAAAAATGTGTACCAATTTTGTTGTTTTCCGTACCAAGATTATTAATATTTAAAGTTTACTTATACGGTTCAAGCAAATTTCAAAATTTTCAGAAAAAATACTCAAAGTTTTATACTTCAAATATGAATTTTGAATTTACAATTCAGTTTGAAAATGTATATATTTCAA